GAGACACGGAGGGAAGAATGCGGCTCTTTTTACAGGTTTTGTGAGGTTCTGCTTCATGGCGCACACGTTGGCAGTGCCGCGATGTCGCGCCTCCATCCCAGCGAGCTGATTGGCCCGCGGGGGGACAGCGTGACAACGATCAGACTGCTGTCGATGGAAAGACTTACCAATAGTCATCAGCAGCAGCTGAGAACTTGCAAAAGAAAGTCTGTTGTTAATCTGTGTGTTTTATTGGTCTCTGATAAAGCTATTTACTTTTAATCATTTTTTGTGATAAATATTCTTCCGAGCTGCATCTTAACATTTGTGAAATTCTAGCGTGTATCTTAAGAAGATGTGGTCAAGCGTTGTGGATCCTCGGGTTCATTGTTTTTATTGTTATTTTCAGCCAATCATCTTGGTCCTGCTGGACATCCCCCCCATGCTGCCGGTGCTGGACGGCGTCGTCATGGAGCTGCAGGACTGCGCCCTCCCCCTGCTGATGGGTGAGCCAACTCCGCCTCACTGCCCTGTTTTAACCAAAAGGCCAACAGGGAATTCATTTTTATTTTAAATTTCACAGAAAATATACACTGTTGCAGGTTTTGTTCAGCCAGATAATCCTCATTATTTAAGCCACTTTTATGATTTTTGGCGCGTGGGTGCAATGGTCAGAGTTAAAAGACTGACGTCGGCCTGCAAATGAAGTAAATCACGGCGTTTAAACGCAACTCTGTTATATGGGAGGACGAGTTCGGCCCAGCGAGGCTGTTTCATCGTCTCGGTTGTTGTCAACCAACTCCGTTTAGACAAGAAGGACAACACAGTGACTCTATTTCCTGGAATAAAACGATAACATCTTGTTCGCCTCAGGCCTCATTTCAGGCCTAAGACTTTGTCGCCATGGTTACAGCCAGCTGTCTTTTTCACCCGGCTGAGAACAGAAATGTTGCACAAAATTTAATCAGCCGAAAGGAGTCAAAGAGCCTTTTGACACAATAATCTGAGCTGCCGTTGATGAGGTGCACATATTGTGTTGATTGTACTCCTCGACTTAATCTTCTGTGCTGCTGTGAGGAGGAGGAGGAGGAGGAGGAGAAAGGGGTCATAGGGGGAAGAGGAAGGAGTGTCTGAAATGAGGCCTCTGGTTGGCTGGTTCTGGCGACCGCGAGGGGAGGAGACGTGGAGCCGGACCGAAGTCCAGGCTGATAGCTGCAGTTCATCATGAACACAGAACGGATCTAATCAGGCGGCGACGAGGCGGCTCGTCTGACAGACAATGACCCCGAGGTGGAAATCTGTGGCCGAGAGTCAGGTGGTCAAAGAGAATCTGCTTGAATAGAAGGTGGAGGCGCGTGAGTGAGAAGAGTGAAGGAACACTCCTCATGGAAGACGTTTCCTCTAAAGAACAAAGTACCAAATCCTTACGCTATCAAAGTGTTCCGCAGCGCTTATCTGAACAGATGAGATTCCTCAGGTCAACGGGTTGTTTTTGTTCAGTGACTTTTCAAAATCTGAAATTCAACAGTAGTTCTGAAGAGAATCAGATTCTCGGCGACAATAAGAAATAATTAATCTTCTTTAAAATGTAAAGGTCTTAATAAGCATTTGTAACCCCCCCCCACAGAGGTGATCCCCACCGACAAAGTGGAGGTCGGCTTCAAGGACATCGACGCCGCCATCTTGGTGGGCTCCATGCCGAGGAAGGAGGGGATGGAGAGGAAGGACCTGCTGAAGGCCAACGTCGCCATCTTCAAGACTCAGGGAGCCGCCCTCGACAAGTTCGCCAAGAAGACCGTCAAGGTGACCTTGTGTTTCAGGCCCCGCCAGCTGTCCTGGAGGGGCTTTGTTTGTGTTCTCTGTCCCTCGGCATTCTGGGATTTCTTGTGCTTTTACAGAAAAAGGCTTTTCTTTGACAGCAGCTTGTGCCGTCGGAGCGTCTTAACTTAAAGAAGGTCACATGATCAGAGGTTCCATCTCTTTGCGCCTTGGAAAACTCCCACAGCGTGTTGATCAGTGGGGAGGGTCCACTGTGACGCCCAAAGAGGTCAAAGGTCAAAATGACACTGGAGGAAAGAATGAATGTGAACTTTGATGCTTTTACGACACAAAACGTCTTCTTAGAAATAAACATTTAGGAAGTAAAATACAAAGTTTACTTGTTAAAAGGTAAAGTTTGGATTCCCCTCAAATATTTATCATATTAATCAATCTGAACCAACTTTATGTGCAACAAACGACAGAAACCATCTGTAGAATTAATATTCTTTTACAAAATTATTTATTTGTTTGTTAGAAAACCTTTTCTTTCAACCCCATCAGGCTGACGGAGGTGTGTTTGTTTTGTTTTTTTTCTCATTTCCCTGTTTTTCAGGTCGTGGTTGTTGGAAACCCGGCGAACACAAACTGTCTGATCGCCTCCAAGTCGGCTCCCTCCATCCCCAAGGAGAACTTCTCCTGCCTGACCCGGCTGGACCACAACCGGGCCAGCTCGCAGGTACACACACACACACACACACACACACACACACGCACACACAGGCGTAGGGAACGAGGAACCTGCCAGTTAGATTTTTATTTTTCCTTCTTACCTCAGGTGGAAATGGACTCAGAGCCTTGGAACTATTTTTTATTTGTCAATTTAAATTGAAACGTCCTTTTCGGAGAGATGTTTTCTCCATGGAGAACTTCTCTTTGATGGTTTTTACTCGTGTCCCATAGAAGGTCATGTGACCCCCAGCAGCCCTTTAAAGAAGTGAAACCAGACCAAACGTCCTCGCGCTCAAAGACCTGAACTGAAGTTGTTCCTCCCGTGTGAAAGTCTGTGATGTAACGTGTGAAATATGTTTGGATCAAAGTCAACAGAAGAAACTCCACCGCTGAATGACACGGAATGTTTTATCAGTTCAGTTTGTTCTCACCGGCTGAAGCTGCGTTGCTCCTCCCCCTTTTCAAACATGTCCCCCCCCCCGCCTGCAGGTGGCGATGCGTTGCGGCGTGTCCTCTGACAAAGTGAAGAACGTCATCATCTGGGGGAACCACTCCTCCACGCAGTACCCCGACGTCCACCACGCCAAGGTCACCGTGAGCGGCGCCGAGAAGCCCGCCTACGACGCCGTGAAGGACGAGGCCTGGCTCCGGGGAGACTTCATCTCGGTGAGCGTCCTCGCGCCGAGGAGACTCACTTCTTTTTCATTTTCTTCGTGTCTTCTTCTCCAACCGCTTCCCGTCTCCGCCCCGCAGACGGTGCAGCTGCGCGGCGCCGCCGTCATCAAGGCCAGGAAGCTGTCGAGCGCCATGTCCGCCGCCAAGGCCATCTGCGACCACGTGAGGGACATCTGGTTCGGCACCAAGGAGGTCCGTGTGGACGCCGTGTTTCAGTGTGACGCGTAGCAACAAGTCACTAGTTGATGGTGTCTTGTTGTTGTTGTTGACCCAGACTGAGTGGCGCTGTTGTCGCTTCCTGTCCACAGGGCGAGTTCATCTCCATGGGCGTGTACGCTGCCGGGAACTCCTACGGCATCCCGGAGGACCTCATCTACTCCTTCCCCATCGAGATCAAGGTGAGCGTCAGGAGGAGAAAAGGAGGCGCACGACTCTTACGGCTCGACCTCTGACCTCTCCCCTTCTTTCTTCTGCTCGTGCCTCACAGAACCAGACCTGGAAGATGGTCGACGGGCTCCCCATCAACGACTTCTCCCGCGGCAAGATGGACGCCACGGCGGCCGAGCTGGTGGAGGAGCGCGACACCGCCCTGGACTTCCTGTCGCAGTGACTCGCACCCGCCGGCCGGCAGCCGCGCTCGGGGCCCCCGAAGGGCGGCTGCTCGCGGCTCTGACCAAGAAGAAGAAGAAGCAGAAACAGCCCTCGTCGCTTAGTAACCGTCCCAGCTGGCATCTGTGTGTCCTCTCTGTCCCTCCCTGTGTGCGTGTCTCTAGGCCACCTTAAAGAAACCCGATTAACCACCACAACCTCCACGTGGGGACGTCTCTGTTGGACGACGACGCGCACCAGCTGCCCCAAACTGTAACAAACACGTTGTCACCAATAAAACAACAAGCAAACCGACCACTTGTTCTCTTTATGTTCAGGCGTCAGTTTTCACTCGAAGGCTTCTAATGGTTTATAATGAGTGAATCAGTGAAGTTTAACACACACAGATTTTAACCTGTTTTCAGTTCTACGTTGAGCTCCGAAATGTTTGAAAAGAACTTTCAGCTTTGTTGACATCTTTCCACTGGAAATAGATTGTAAATCACCTTTTTACCACATGGCATGTTCAATTACATTAAAATATACTTGCATGCAGTACGAACATCAAAACAAACCGATGGCTTCTAATTGAAGCTTAACTTTAATACAGAGTCATTCGGCATTTGAGTTTTTCTGGGTGTTTCAGATATTTGATGCGTGGAAACTGGAGGCTCCTGTTTTATATGATGCTGGACGTCTGATTATTTGTGGGTGTCAACTGATACTTTAAAAGTTAAACCTCTTAAGTGTGTATTATGTCTACTGAAGCTTTCTAACGTTCAGTGCATCATTCTGACCACGTGGGGGCAGCATCGACCCAAACAACACAAACGGATATTTTATTTTTATTTTCGTACGTCATCTCTGGATATCCAGAAACATCCAGGTTATTATATTCTGTTCAACATGAGGGTTTATGGTTTCTAGGCTGATTATAAAGTCACTATTTTTATGGCTACAAGTACGTATAATATGTGTATATTGTATGCAGAATACATTTATGAAAATTAAGCTTCCATAAAATTTGTAAAGGTTTAATATACTAAAAGCTGAAAACGCAAATAATAAAAGTTGATTTCAATAAAAGTAAAGAAAGAAAAAAGAAATAAAGCAGTTGCAGTAAAATTGACCAGTCTGGATGGGCGGGGCATGTTGGCAACTCCTCCCGCCCCCCCGTTTGAGTGACGGGCGTCTTCCACTAATCGCCGTTCTGTGACACTTGTCTCCCGTGACGTCACGTGCGTCGGTGACGTACCAGCCCGTCCGGCCCGCTCCAGCCGCAGAAGAAGAAGGAGAAGAAGAAGAAGAAGCCGCGGCGGCTTTTAACGCTTCGTGCGACTTGTGGAGACGAAGCATCCGGTCCGAGCCGCGGTCTCCCGGGTTGTCTGTCCCGCGGGCAGCTTGTCCGGTGTCTCGGCCGTGTTTCTGAAGCCCTTCCGGTGCGCGCAGGTGGGTAAACTTCAGCCCCGCGGCTGCGCGTGCACGAGATGTTTGTCCAGGAGCGTGTCCGCGCGGCCTCCGAGGCGCAAAGTGGAATAAATGCACTAAAAGCTGAAACGTGTGAACATCTGGCATGAACCCGCTTCAGCACCGCGCGCGCGCGCGTGTAGTGTGTGGGTGTGTGTGTGTGTGTGTGCGCGTGCGCGCGTCTCTGTATCAATTACCAAGACAAGTTCACACAAACACTCAAATAGTCATATTATTAAAATAGTTAAATAAGACCATAAAGGTCGAAATATGCATATTCCTATTTAATGTAGCTCTTCTATTATTTACTACATAGTTACATTTCAATTATTCACCTTGAGCACGAGTTTTATTATAAAATGTAATATTAAGTTGAAAGTGATCAAAGACAGGTGAAAGTTTATCTCTCAGGTTGAGGGATCAAGACACACACACACACACACACGTTCGACTTTGTAATAATTAAGACATTAGTGTTTGTTTTATTTAAGGGAAAGAACAAAAATATTATCAAGTTATACGTAAAGTACCCATTTCAGAACAATCACACACACACACACACACCTGTCTGTGTGCGCGTGAGTATGTGTGTGTGCGTGAGTGTGTGCGTGTGTGTGTCCGTGTATGTGTGTTTTTTTGTGTGTGTGCGTCAGTATGTGTGTGCGTGCGTGTGCGCGTGTGTGTGTGTACGTGTGTGTGTCCGTGTATGTGTGTGTTTTTGTGTGTGTGCGTCAGTATGTGTGTGCGTGTGTGTGTGCGTGAGTATGTGCGTGCGTGTGTGTGTGTTTTTGTGTGTGTGCGTGAGTATGTGTGTCCGTGTGTGTGTGTCCGTGTGGCGCTCAGGTCGGACTCTCAGCTCTGATCTTCCTCTCGGTGGAGGATGAGGAGGACGTCTGTTGTTCTCTGACAGCTGCTCGTCGATTTCTGTTCTTCTTTTTACAACCGGAATGTCTCTGACTGTAGCTGGTAAGTTTCGGGCGTCTCGCTGTGTGATTCCTCACTCTGTTCATGTTAAATGTCTCATGAATGTGTGAAAAAAAACAACATGTAACCCTCAAAGCGCCGTTGAACACTAGAAACAGAGCAGCTTCTTTCACTGTTTAACAACGTTAACGTGTAATAATACAAGTTTATTACTAGTTGAACAGGCAGATGTTGGCTGCTTGTCTACTTTTGGGGATTAATTGTGAAATAATGTTCTGTTCTGGTCTCGTCTGTATGTTGAGGAAAGATTTCACTGGTTTCTGCACTAAAGTTTAAACAGTGAAACAACTACGCGGCAGCTGAACATATTTTGCAGCGAAATGATTTTCCGTCTTCATGGGAGATGATTGAAAGTACCCACATCTGGTTTCGTAGCCCCACCGGGCCGCCGTTTTTAAAGTCGGGGGTTAAGAGTCAACGAAGCGGCGTTAAACTAGACGGCGGCGTGTGTTGCAGACCTGAGCGGCGGCGTGATGACGGAGTTCCAGGAGAAGCTCCGTCAGCAGCACGAGGACTCCATGCACCGCGAGCTGCAGGCGCTGCTCGCCACCGCCAACAAGGCCGAGGCCGAGGTGAGCGCCGTCCGCACCCCCCCCCGATGACCTCCAGCTGATACTCATTCTGGCAGCCGCCATTTTTGATTTTGGGGGTTTTTTGCAACCAGTTTATGGTCCGTTTGACGCTAAATGGATTATTTACTAAACGACCATCATGCCGTGTTGAAACTAGAGGCTGAGACCATAAACTCGTGTTCACGACGTTTACTGAGGGAATAAATCGGGAGAGAAGTGGCGTCATTTCCTCATAGACGTCTATGGGAGCAGAGGAGTCGCCCCCTGCTGGTCACTACAGAGAAGTGGAGTCATTTCCTCATAGACGTCTATGGGAGCAGAGGAGTCGCCCCCTGCTGGTCACTACAGAGAAGTAGAGTCATTTCCTCATAGACGTCTATGGGAGCAGAGGAGTCGCCCCCTGCTGGTCACTACAGAGAAGTAGAGTCATTTCCTCATAGACGTCTATGGGAGCAGAGGAGTCGCCCCCTGCTGGTCACTACAGAGAAGTAGAGTCATTTCCTCATAGACGTCTATGGGAGCAGAGGAGTCGCCCCCTGCTGGTCACTACAGAGAAGTAGAGTCATTTCCTCATAGACGTCTATGGGAGCAGAGGAGTCGCCCCCTGCTGGTCACTACAGAGAAGTGGAGTCATTTCCTCATAGACGTCTATGGGAGCAGAGGAGTCGCCCCCTGCTGGTGAGGAGAGAGAATGCAGGTTTAAGAGAACCAGATGTTTCATCCTACGAAAGCGTCTTGACCAATCCGCACCGTCTCAGTCTAAAATCCGCTGTCTTATGTCACTTTATTGTTTGTTCATTTCAACGCCTTGAATGTTGATTTGGAAACTGCAGCGTGTGTTTTCGTGGTTTCACGCGAGGCAACAAGGGTCACGGACTGAATATTTTGCTCTCACAAATATTTGTAAAGTAAGAGAGTCCACTCGGCCATCTTATCACTCAGATAAAACACACTCACACGAGGTGAACAACCGAGAGATCATGCACGCACATGCACACACACACGCCACGCCGCGGTGATTTGGATGATATTGACGTTGTGCAGTAGTTTATTCACACAGAAGCACCCAAGAAACAGGCTTCACCGCAAATGACCTTTATCGCGACCAGTTTTACGCAACAGGAACTGAAAGCTTGAACACATTCGTGTTCCGTGAGTCCGGTTCAGTTCTTCTGATGTTCGGCTTCTGCTCCCTCAGATCTCCAGGAAAGATTTCGATGGCTTCAAGAAGCTCTTCCACAGATTCCTGCAGGTCAAAGGTCCCGCAGTCGACTGGGCCAAGATCTCCCGGCCGCCGGAGGACTCGGTGAGACGCCGAGTACACACACACACACACACACACACACACACACCAAACACACACTTCTCGTGTTGCAACCCTCTGCTGTAATCTGAGGTCGGAGGTCAGACAGCGGCTCGGTGGGACTGCAGAGTCACAGATCTTCAGCTCCTCCTGATGTCAATACGTTTATTTTATCTTATCTCTGCACGTCTACAAATAAAATGTGATGTAATGAATCAAATAAATATAGTCAGATAAAAGTAATAGTAGAAGAATAACGTTGTATAAAATGGAATTTAAGTTCCTTAAAGTTGTTAAACAGAACTTTATATTAGATTTAGTAAATTTCCTTCGTTGCTTTAAACCAGTCTGTGCAGGTTCATTTAAATGAAGCACAAAGTGATAAAGTCCAAACACAAAGCTGCTGAAACAAGTTAAAGTAACCAGATATGAAGAAGAAGGACTGAAGCCAACGATTCATCACCAGTGTGGCATGTAACACACACACACACCTCCCTAAATACCCGAGCACACTGAAGGTCAGGACCAGAATAGTTTTGACCGACGAAGCATTCGAGTCGTTTGAGGGCGGCGAGGTCAGACGGACCTTCGTCTCCTGTCTTCATGTGCCTCCTTCCCTTCCCCCCTTGTTCCCTCGCGCCTCCAGTGTTTCCTAACCGTAATAAGCACCAAGTCCCACAATGCATTGTTGTCGCTGTGAAGGCCAATCACAGAATATGGGACCGTGTCCCGAGGGCGCATACACACACACACACGGTGTCCATAAATACGCGTGTCCTTTCGGCTGTCACGCGTCTCTGGCGACCTCTCAAAGGTCAGAACTGCCGCTCTGGACGGGATTCAGTCAAACTTGGTGAGGTGATGTGTCGGCTCCTTCAGCAGGTCCCTGAAGCATGAAGCTCATTCTGGAGCTCTGATCCTTTAAAATAACAGTCCCACATGAGACGTGTCCCTTTTGTCCCCGTGGAGACACGCTGGGACTCTTTAGCGTATCGTAGCTAGTTGCACGTTGCCCGTTAATTGTCCTAAAGTATGCGGCTTATTCACGCACGGGCCAAACCGCGTCCCTCCGGCTCATGCCGGTCTCTCTCTCCCGGTCTTTACGTCTCCGTGTCTCCGCTCAGATCCGTCCCTACGAGAGGATCCGGACGGAGGGTCTCCCCGACAACATCAGCGCCAGCCTCAACAAGCTGGCCGTGGTCAAACTGAACGGCGGCCTGGGGACCAGCATGGGCTGCAAGGGCCCCAAGAGCCTGATCAGCGTGCGCAGCGAGAACACCTTCCTGGACCTGACGGTGCAGCAGATCGAGGTGGAGCCGCATTAGAGACGGAGACGCCACCATTTCCTGTGAAAAGTGGGGAAGTGAACGGCCGTTTTTCTCTTTCAGCATCTGAACAAAACCTTCAACGCCGACGTGCCGCTCGTCCTCATGAACTCCTTCAACACGGACGAGGACACGAAGAAGATCCTGCAGAAGTACAAACACCACCGGGTGAAGATCCACACCTTCAACCAGAGCCGGTACCCGCGGATCAACAAGGACTCGCTGCTCCCCATCGCCAAGGACATGGCGACGGGCGGCGAGGTCGGCGAGGCCTGGTACCCGCCGGGCCACGGGGACATCTACGCCAGCTTCGCCAACTGCGGCCTGCTGGACAAACTGCTGGCCGAGGGGAAGGAGTACGTCTTCGTGTCCAACATCGACAACCTGGGCGCCACCGTGGACCTCTTCATCCTGCACCACCTGATGAGCCAGCCGGCCGAGCGCCGCTGCGAGTTCATCATGGAGGTCACCGACAAGACGCGGGCCGACGTCAAGGTCAGCGCAGGTTTTTTTTTTATATCTCCTCCTCTCGGCTCGGCCGCTCAGTCCTCCTCCTCCTCCTCCTCGCAGGGCGGCACGCTGATCCAGTACGAGGACCACCTGAGGCTGCTGGAGATCGCGCAGGTACCGAAGGCCCACGTCGACGAGTTCAAGTCCGTCACCAAGTTCAAGATCTTCAACACCAACAACCTGTGGATCTCCCTGCCCGCCATCAAGAGGCTGCAGGAGGAGAACGCCATGGACCTGGAGATCATCGTCAACCCCAAGGTGAGACGCCGTCCTCCTCAGGCGGTCCGGCCGCGTCCTCTGGCGGAACGCTTTTTAAATTTTTTTTATTTCCTCAACGTCTCTTTCCCCCCGCAGACGCTGGACGGCGGCCTGAACGTCATCCAGCTGGAGACGGCCGTGGGCGCCGCCATCAAGAGCTTCAACAACGCCATGGGCGTGAACGTGCCGCGCAGCCGCTTCCTGCCGGTGAAGACGTCGTCCGACCTGCTGCTGGTGATGTCCAACCTGTACAGCATGGACGCCGGCTCGCTCACCATGAGCAAGAGGAGGGAGTTCCCCAGCACGCCGCACGTCAAGCTGGGCGGCTCCTTCACCAAGGTCGGCTTTCTTACGCTACCGTTTTATCCACAAGTATCACTTCATCACTTCATTTTGAGAACATTACTATTACAAATATTTCTCCCATTATATATATATTCATGAATAATAAAAGATCACAGCGGTTTGTTAGTTTTTGGATGAATGAGGCCACATGTTGGAAGAGGTTTTATTTTTGTGAAATCGATAAATAAGATCGGTTTCAGAGACGTTGGCGTTGCAGGTCCAGGAGTTCCTGTCCCGGTTTGAGAACATCCCGGACATGCTGGAGCTCGACCACCTCACCGTGTCCGGAGACGTCACCTTCGGGAAAAACGTCTCGCTGAAGGTGAACGAAAACAAACGCGGCTGATGAGAAATTCAGATTTTTCTTCACATTTTAGATATAAAGAATGTAGTATTTCTAAGAAAGGTATTAAATACTATGATAAAGTTGTACTATAGTAATATCTCAAAAAAGTTAAATCATAGTATTGATTTAGAAGGTCAAAAAAAAAAAGTTTAAAAGTCATTGTACCGTGTAAAAAAAAAAAGAAAGGCTAGAAAACACATTGTATCGCATGCCGGTCCAGAAACGTCTCGTGTGGTATTTTGAAATGACGTTTTGTCATTCTAGCATGTTGTGAGACGCGTCCTAAGCATGTAAAAAAAGAACACGGTTGTTACTGTTACGAAAGAAAAGGATTTGAATACTTTTCCGAATGACAATCGCTGCGTTTTGATGATCTGACCTTTTGACCTTCGCCAGGGAACCGTCATCATCATCGCCAATCACGGGGACCGGATCGATATTCCGGCCGGGGCGATGCTGGAGAACAAGATCGTCTCAGGGAACCTGCGCATCCTCGACCACTGATGCATGCTGGGAAAACAAAAAGCAGCAGCCCACAGAAACAAGCCGGCCGATCGCACCTCGAACTCTCTGAAGAACTCTGTTTTTCAACGTGTCACTGACCGCGCAAGGGTCAAAGGTCAACCTGCTGCTCTGAACTCGTTACTGCAAACTGCAAACTAACCAAAGTCTGAAGCTTCTCAAATCATTTCAAATTAGAGGTTTGGGGATTTTAATGATATTTGTTTTTAAATCAGTTGGATTTATCTTCATGATGGTTGAAAATATTGATATAGATTGATAATTTATTGCCTTCCTAAACGCGTCGTGAAGACTTGATGCTTTGTCATGCATGTGTGTACATATATACACGCAGCGTGTACATGTATATACATAGTGTGTACATATACACACAGTATGTGCACGTACATTCATGCAGGATTGCAGACAAGAAGTTCATGTTTCTGTTCAACTTTGCCAAAAAACAACAGCTGGGTTTGTAAATGACCTTCACATTAAAACACGTTTCCATGGAGACCAAAACGCTTCAACAAGACGGGGATCCGCCTGAGTAACAGTTCGACGAGAAGAGAACAGGTCCGCGTTAAAACAAACTGATGATGTGTTCCGATTTAAAACGGCTTCCTGTTTCACAATAAAGCCGCCGTTTATTCATATTTAACTCCACGCTCGCTCTACTGAAAAGAGGACGTGATCGTAAAGAGCTGCATCGTCCTGTGTGTCTCTGCAGGGACAATTCAATAAAAAAACCTGAGAAGGAGAAGGTTGTTAAATGGAACAAAATGCACAAAACAAACTGAGTCACTTTGAACTGAAGAGTTTCAGAGAAACAGACCGAAGGACAACGAGCCGTCGTCCGCTTTTATTCACATCACGTCTGAAGGAGTCGATACATTTTGGATCATCATACATGCAGCCCGTCTCTCTCACACACACACACACACACACACACACACGCACACAGACACACACGCACAGACTCACACACACAGTGGTATGGTAGGCACACTGTAGTGGAGAGAGCTCAGATGTGTCGTCTCTGAAAGGAGGCACTTCTGAAGCCGACAGCAGAGAGTCGATGCTTTTTGTTCTCGAGAAACTTGACAGCTGCCGTCACATGACACCCCCCCCTTTCCTGCCCCCACCCCATGACGGTGCATTTTTAGAGGATTCTAACTTAACTGATTCTCGGCGACATCTGGACAGACACCCACTCTTAAATGAGAGCTAATTGTCTTCTGTTGTAAAACTTAATGTCTTGTATGGAATGCCTCTTACTTGCATCCTTAATGGAGCAGTTTATATCTGCGGGCTGACTCTGTATCCCCTGAGTAATATTACGCTTCAATAAAATAGAATAGGAGATGTGTGGGTAGGCCACTACTCGGATGACTTCCGCCCTTAGCCATCGAGGGCGGGACGGGAGGATGTGAGTGGATCTCTTATCTGGCTTTTAAAAGAGCACGTATTTCAGACGTTGTGCTCAAAAAGGTTCAATGATTGTGCAAACTCACTGGTCAGGGATATTCTCGAAAAATGAAGGAATTGCCCGGTAAGGATCCCTCGTCCAAGGGGGGAGG